TACTACTACTACTACTACTACTACTACTACTACTACTACTACTAGTACTACTACTAGTACTAGACCTAGTACTAGCTGCAGCAGCATCATGATGAGCCCCTTCTTCTTGTCCTTGTTCTTGTTGTTTCAAAAACAAATCTGGTGCTGGCTGATTTCCACCAGCACCCAGTCTTAATCCAGCAACTTTTGTTCCTGCAGAAAACAAAGTCAGCAGATCCGTGCTACTACTACTACTACTAGTAGTAGTAGTAGTAGTACTTTGGTACTAGCTACTAGTTCTTTTTCAACCGAGCTTCTTCTACTAGTACAGCCCCCACCTCCTTTTGGTTTTCACCACCCTGGGTTGCTTCCTTGTTGTTCTCCCTGCCAAGATACAAGAAGGGAGGAATACTACTAGCTAGCTACAACTAGTACTACTAGTAGTACTTCTTGTTGTACTGCTGCTACTTTCTGCTGGTGCTAATACTAGTAGTACTAGTACTACTAGTAGTACTGCTACTAGTATTAGTATTAGTTTCAAGGTTGTACCAATCAACAAATGTCTTTTGCTTCTTCTCCTGCTGGCTTTTAAACACTTCCTAGTAGTACTAGCTCTAAACATGATCAGGAGAGCATTCGTTGTCCATAGTATTGCTCTCTCCAGCAGGAAACACCGAAACAAGAAGCACCACTTATCACCATCACTGCCAATGCCAGAAGGAATAATCATTGTTATATAGTACCCTCTTTAGATGATTCCAGCAAACCCATACAGTTTCCACTTGTACCACACCTTCAACTTCCCCTCACGTGGAGGGTGTCGTTGTCGATCCATTGGATCAGTCCAGTGCTCGTTTTCGTTCCAACTTTGTTTCAAAATATTTTCCCAGCAAACAGAACATAATGTTGTCAATCTCATGCATGGAGTCTTTCGAGTGAGAGTAGAAGAGGAACCAACAAAATTGCCGAGAAAGCAAGACGGGACCATTCGCGACGTTTTTCGCGACACACTGGACGATACACAACGCCTTTCTTTTCTCAAATTCGTTTCGGTTGGTGAGCTCCTGCTGCTGCTGCTACTACTACTACCAAAATGCTATCGGTGATGCTTTTGCTGCTACTCAACTACCAAACGAAAACTACTACTGTTACTTTACTGCTACGGAGTCCACCGCGGTTTGGTTTGCCTATTTCGTCACGACTGGTTTCCGGCTTGGTGGTGGTCGCATCATTCGGAGCACAGGGGACGAAACAATTCGTGGAGGGACTCGGAACCGATCGAGGGACAGGAAGACGATGACGACGACGACGCCGTCGATCCGATGGAGCGGGAGGAGGACCCTTTTTCGCACGCGGGAAAGGCGGGCGGTGGCCTTCCGCGGAGGGGCTCCCCTTCCGGCGTTCGATCGGGGGCGGCCGCGGCGCACCGCCAGGAATCGTGCCGGCCGGCCGGGAGGTGGCGAAAGAAAAAGTCCTTGTCCATGTACCGGGGGGGCCGCTGTTGCGGTTGGTGTGGGTGTTGCTGCATTTTCCCCCTGCCGGTCGGCTTGGTCGTCGCGAGGGTCCAGTCGGTCACCGTCATGCGGTGGTCGGAAAAGCCGGCGGGCCCCACGTAGACGCCGTGGGGGTGCACCGTGGTGCGGCCCTCGGGTTCCGAGCCCTCGGCGTCGCTGTCGTCGTCGCTGTTGCCGCCGCTGTTGCCGGCCGGGCAGCGGTAGTAGGTGTAATCGATGGTGGTTCCGGACCAGTGGGTCGAGGGGGGGGGCTGGTGGGGGTCCCAGTTGCAGCGGACGGCCTCCCCCTCCCCGCTTCCGGCCCGGACGGCATCCAGGACGCACCGAAAGCCCTTGCCTTCCAGGAGGCCCGCCACGCCGTCGTCCAGCGGGACCTTGCGGAGGCCCGCGCTCCCCGCGATGCGGTTCCACTCGGGCCCCGTGTAGTCCCCGGACCGCTGCTGGTTGAAGTCGCCCATGACCAGGACCGGGAGGTGCCTGGTGCGTTCGCAATCGCGTTCCCCCAGCCTCGCCGAGAGGAGGGTTTGGATCTCTTCTGCCCGCTGGATTCCGTCAAAGGCGTCGAGGTGGGTCCCTACGACCCAGCACCGGCTCGGGCTCGGCCCGCTCCCGCTGCTGTGGAAGTGTCCGTTGCCGATGCACTCGCTGTGGTCGATTCCGTGGCACTCCACCAGGATGCAGAGGGCCGATCGGTTCCCCGAGAGGACGACCTCCTCGTAGCGCAGGACCTTTTTGCGGGTGGCCACCATGGTGGGGGTGTCCCCGTGCACCGCCACCCTCACGAAGCTATAGCCCCGGAGGCGGAGGACCTCCTCCAGGAGCGACTGGGAGGAGTGGATAAAGTCGAACTCGGCCTTGCGCTCCTCCTCCTGCTGCTGGTGTTGTTGTTGCTGTTGCTGCTGTAGTTGTTCCTCCGTGTCCCTCCAGTGGATCTCGTTGAGGACCAGGACGTCCGAATCCGTTTCGCAGATGGACCGAATGGTTCCGGCCGTGATCGTTTGCAGGTTGCGCTCGTCCCGCGGAGACGTAAAGGCCTGGATGTTCCACTGGAGGCACCGGAGCTGGGCAAAGGACCTCGGGCGTTGGTGTTGGTTTTGCTGTTGCTGTTGGTATTGCTGTTGGTTTTGGTGTTGCGGTTGCTTGGGTGGCGACGAAGCCGCTGTGGCGGAGGAGCTCGCCGAGAAGAGGGCGTCCCGTACCGAGGCCGCTTTGGTGTGGCGGTGTTGGCTGTCCTCGTCTTTGTTGTTGCTGTGATTGTGATTGCTATTGTTGCTGTTTCTGTTGCTATTGTTGCTGCAGGCCCGGCGCTCCCGCTCGAGGAACCATCGGAGGCTCTTGCTTCTGGGACGGGGGGGCACCACGACCCCCTCCATCGCCGCTCGCTCGTTGTCCCTCACGTAGAGATCGACCAGCTCGTCCACGCCCATCGCCCCGGTTCCGTAGTCGTCGTGCTGGAGGGCCGACGGCCGAAAGTTCCAGTCTCCCTCCCTTCCGAGGTGGCTGCGGTGGTTGTTGTTGTGGTTGCTATTGTCGTGGCTGTTGCTGTTGCCGTTGCTGTTGCCGTGGCTCTGGCCCTCGCGGTCGTCCACGGACGCCCCGCGGTCGTCCGTCCCCGCTTCTGCTCCCTTGGCCAGGAGCCCCGGCTTGTAAAAGGCGCTCCGCGTGGACTGCCTCGGCCGGAACCGGTTCTGGTGGTGGTGCTTTCGGCCCACCAGGACATCGTTCAGGGGATTCCGGTAGTGGCTCGCGCAGATCGCCGTCATGCTTTTGGCTTACGAGTTGGCGATGCGATGCGATGCGATGCGATGCGATGCGGTGTGTTGTGTTGCTGTTGCTGTTGCTGCTGTTGTTCTTGTTCTTGTTCTTGTTCTTGTTCTCGTTCTCGACTCTTGCGATCAGCGGTTGAAACCAAAATGCGTTGAGAGTCGATTTCACTTCCTGCTTCATTTCCCAACGAGACCGGAGTGAGTCGGGTTGGCGTCTACCGTACCGTACGGTGTGATATAATATGGTGCGTCCTCGGATTTGATTCGCGATGGGGCCCGGTGATGCACGAATTCGAGGAAGCTTCGATGATGGTGATTCGTTCGTTCGAACCAGAACGATTCGCCTTGGTTCGGGGCGAAAACTAGCTTGCTACCGTGATCGACAAGCAATACTACAGTACCGTACTGCGTACTTTACCGTTCGTACTTCCAATTCACTACGGCAACAAAAAATACAAATTACTCCTACGAAGCAAGTTCGTACTAATAGAACTGCGGAATTGGTTCGTAGCGTAGGTTACTGTACTGTATCGTACGGGACGATGCCACTAGCGATTGCTCCTCGGAGTCTTGCTTGTTGGCCTCGACACTGTAGTTTCGTTTCGTTCCTTTTTTATTTTGGCACTTGTGCCGTTCGATACATAAGCTCGGGTCCTATCCGCTGAGGAAACGGAGGAATCGAAATGGCGCACGATTGTAGAATTCACGATGCGTCCTTTGCGCTACGGTATGGCAGTACGTAGCGGTACRTACTCGTACGCMASGGTGCGGTGTGCAGTTTCGTTTCGTGATGCCAAGAACGAGACTGCGAGTAGCGTACTCGWACGTACCGTACSCACTACGCACAGAATTCACCTACCGCGGAGTTGGCGATGCGATGCCCGGGAGGAGCCCTTCCGGTTACTTAACCCCGATTCCTGGTTTGGTGGGCTCGTTGCACGCCGGTGATTGGTCCAACACATCTGTTTCGTGACACCGGGGAAAATGACGTCAATCAAAACCGGTTTTTTGCGATATGGTTCAACCCGCGACTCCGAAACCCCAACGCACCGTAGGTATTTAACTATATTTAACGCACTCGTCGGCGTACGTACGTACCGTACTGTATTCCTTGTTCGTACCGTACGTACTGTACGTATCGTAYCTATTTTGGACGATTGACGATTATTGATGACTGCTTCCGAGATTCGATGGATTCGTTCTTCTTCCTGGCATTATTCAAGGAGGGAACGAACAAGTGAATCCACCGAATCGAACGAATCAATCGTCCGCCAAACGGGGTTAAGGTAGGTTATTCGTACCCAGTAACGGTAGTACTACTATATGTACTATGTCCGAGTAACAAGCACAGTAGTAGCAATAGCAACACAAGTACCTTGGGATTGGTAGCCTTTTGCAGCTTCATCATATCATTCCAGCTAGGGTTGCAACTGGGTTTCCCACCTTGACAGCAGTCTCTTCTTCTTGGCAGCTTCTTCGTCTTTGAACCTGTGTAGTAGTAGGGTCGAGCTTCTTCTTCTTGTTCTTCGTCCACCASCATCAGCAACACACCAACAAGAAGAACAAGAAGAAGAAGCATGAGAGGATGCCTGCTGCTGTGAGAGACAATGACACGCTAACAAGACAGCCGTTTCTTGATATTCGTTAATCGGCCCCTTGGCTGGATTTGGCACTCGGGTGTTCAGATCTAGTACTAATCATACTACTTCTACTACTAGTACTAGGCAATGGCTTGCTCGTCCCGCAGAGCTTGATTGCTTTCCCCTCTGTGTCTATTTTTTCTTGTGGTGTTCGGTTTCTGTCTCCTTGTTTCTTGTTGATCAAACATTGAGAAAACAAACACAATGCCGCCTAGTAGCAGGCAACAATGTACTGGTATTGCTACTACTACTAGCTAGTAGTACAATGATTGTTTCTTGTTTCTCCTCGTTGTTCAAACACGGAGAAACAATGGAAACRCCGCCCAGGAACGAGATTGCTTGCGGTGGAAGGGTTGTCGGCGATCCACGGTTCGGGCCATCGGCGCACTCCTTCTGGGCATGCGGTAGACGATCACGGGAAACGCAAGCCGTGTGGTGGCATMTGTTCCGCGGCCACGGAAGAGGTTTGTTTTTGTGGCCGGCCCTCCGCCGCTGCATCCGAACCAAACCCTTCCAATCCCGGCCGCACACCAAGGTGGAAGAAAACAAAACAAAACAAAAAACCAAGTACTGTACGTACTACCGTGTATCTATTTAATCTTATGGATTTCCAGTCGTTGTTCTGTTCTGTTCTGTTCTGTTTTGTTTTGATTTGTGTTGCGATATGCTCTGCTTTGATTGATCCTGTGTTCCTTCCTTTGCTTTACTAACTTTCCTTTCCTTCCCTTTGGTTTCATTTCATTTCCTTTCCTTTCCTTCCGTTTCCTTCCATTCCGTTTCGTTCAATCGTTCTCGTCGTCTCCGTCGTTTTGCTCGTCGTAGTCGTCCTCGTCCTCGCCCTCGTCCTCTCCGTGCCCGTTCGCAGTGGGTTCCCCGTCGGGGTGTTCCCGCCGGAACCTCCGGAGGACCTCCATCTCGTTGTAGTGCCGCTTGCGGTGTTCCTGGAACTCGAGGCGCTTGAGCTCCGCCCGCTGCTCGTCGCGCCGGCGGAGGTGGCCGTCCCCGTCGCCCTCCGACTCGCCGCCGCTCCCCGGGGCGAACCGGGCCGMCGCCGCCGACGACGACGACGCCGCAACGGCCGCGTGGGCCTCCAGCTTGTTCGTGAGGGCGTCCCAGCAGATCCCTCCCGCGCGGTTCGGCGGCCCCCCCTTGCCACGCTCCCGGTGGCTGCCTCCGCTGTCGTTGCTCGCCACGCTCATCCCGCGGGCGCTGCCAAAGGAGCCGTCTGTTTCGCTTCCGCTGTCGTAATACGCAAAGGGCGTGTTGGCCTCCTCGATTTTCATTCGGGTTCCCCGCAGCTGGTCGTGTTCCTGGATCATGGCCTCGTCCCACTTGAGGGTGCGGTTGGCTTTCTTGGTGCGCTTCTTCGCAAACTTGCCGGTGCTGCTGGTCTTCCTGCTGTCCGTTTCGCTGTCGTCGTCCGTGGTGGTGTGGTGGTCGTAATCSTGGTCCGTGGTCCCATTGTTGCCGCTGCTCCTGCTGCTGCTGGATTTCAGGGCCGGCTTGACAGGTTTCTTCCGACGCGTCGTGGGGTTGCTCATTCCCTCGCTCTCGCCCATGGGTTCGTCGGTCTCGGTCATGTCGCGTTGCCCTTCTTCGTTCGTGCTGGTGTTGTGTTGTGTTGTGTTATATTTTGGTTCCGTATGCCGTGCCGTTGGATTTTGTGTGGCTGGTGCGTTTGACGGGAGACGATGCTTCCAAAGATTCTCTCTTTTGGATGCAACGTCCTCTTGGTTTTGTTTGTCTTCGTTGATCTGTCGTGTTCTTGACGGTTCTTGTTATCTGTGACACCAAAGCAGTAAAAGCGAATCTTTGGACATGCACACACTGACGGGAAAAACGAGTACGATCCTCGTAGGTACCGGTACGCGTACTACTCAGAAGCGAAGCGGTACGAGTACCGTACCATACGACYACCGGTAGAAAATGGAGAGGAGCGCAAATAATCGTACTTCGTACAAGTATCGTACTTCGTAATTATTAGCGGTAGCGGAAATCTATGAATTTCACGTTTTTTGGAATTACGAACCACTACTGTATGCATGCTTTGAAGTAGTAGTAGTAGTACTACGAGAAAGTACTCGTACTATACTGCAACTACTACAACTTGTACCACATCAGTACTCGTACTACTACTATTTATCGTCCCATTACCTACTACTACTAGTAGTACTATTAGCAGCACTTCTTCTACTACTACTATTACTACTACTACTAATAGTAATAGCAGCATATCATATTTGGCACAACTAGTAGGAGCTACTACTACTACTAGCTACTAGTACTAGCTAGTACTACTACTACTACTACTAGTGGTGGTGGTGATACTAGTACTGCTGGTAATACATATATTTAATGCTTTCGTTCTTGTCGGAAATCATTTTTGGTGATACTATGATATCTTCACTAGCGTTCCTTCGAACACTTGGGTACTATTACTAGACGACATYGCTAGTAAGAACACTAAAATAAATCGTTTAGCTCCGCGTCGCTGCCCGTTCCTCGAAGCCCACCACTGTTGGTGTTGGTCGCTTGCTGTTGGAGCAMGGCAACTTTGTCCCAAATCAGGTCGGTTGTCATGGCGTGATCGATCTCCACACCTGTACCGAATTCAAGCAGTTTTTTTCTTAGYTCCTTTCGTTTTCGTCGGCGGAGTTGCTTCTTGGTGAGCSTGGTCTCGCTGTCGTTCTCGTTTCCCTTCCTCGTTGGGTCCGACACGGTTATTATCTCCGCGAACGGTTCCATGTTCACATTCGATGACCTATCTTCCAGGTTCTGAAATTCTTTCTGCCTTTGTTTCCTCAGTTTCTTTTTCTTCCTCCTGCTCCTTCTTCTGCTAGCTACATTGTTTTCCTTGTCTTCCGGTACTCCGGACTCTCCTTCTCCCTCTTGCGCCTCGGCTACGACTTCTCCTTCACCTCCCTTCAACACAGATTTCAATTCTGCTCGTTTTTCTTTTCTCCTTAACTTTTTCTTTTGCTTTCGCTTCTTTCGATTCAACTTCTTCTTTTCCTTCCTCGATAGCAGGTTTTCGTCGTCTCCTCCATCTTTATTTTCGGGCTCGATGTCTTTTTCTTTGTTTTTCTTTTTCTTCCTCTCTTGTCTTTTCTTCTGTCTCAATTCCTTCCTCGATGGCTTTTCACCATCGACATTCTCTTCGTCCTCGTCATCGATCTGATCGGATAGCGGGTTTTCATCGCCTCCTCCATCCTTGTTTTCAGGTTCTATGTCTTTGTTCTTCTTTTTCTTCTTCTTCCTCTCTCGTCTTTTCTTCTTCCTCTCTTGCCTTTTCTTCTTTYTCAATTCCTTCCTCGATGGCTTTTCACCATCGACATTCTCTTCGTCCTGGTCCTGAAGTTGATCGTATTCGTCCTCATCCTCTTCATACCCTTCCTCGTCTGTTTCCTCGTCTTCTTCGTACTCTATCTCATCCTTATCTTCGTTTTCGTTTTGTTCGTCCTGTTCATACTGGTCCTCGTCTGTTTCTTCGTTTTCTTCGTAGTCTCTCTCATGCTTCTCTTCGCTTTCGTTTTGTTCTTCCTGTTCATACTNTCCTGTTCATACTGGTCCTCGTCTGTTTCTTCGTTTTCTTCGTAGTCTCTCTCATGCTTCTCTTCGCTTTCGTTTTGTTCTTCCTGTTCATACTCTTCCTCGTCTGTTTCCTCGTCTTCTTCGTACTCTATCTCATCCTTCTCTTCGTTTTCGTTTTCTTCGTACTCATCATACTCTTCCTCATCGTCGTCTTCGTCGTGGCTCTTTTCCTTTCTGTAGTTTTTCTCATCATGGTCATCATTCTTGACATGCTTATCATGCTTGTCAACCTTCTCCTTGCGTTTCTTGCGTTTCTTGCGCTTCTTGTCCTCGTGCTTCTTGTCCTCTTGCTTCTTGTCCTCCTTATGGTTTTTATCCTCATCCTCTTCATCTTCGTCTTCGTCCTCGTACTCTTTGTCAACTTCGTCTTGGCTTTCGTCCTTCTTGTCGTTTTTCTTGCCATGCTTATCATGCTTATCGACCTTCTTCTTATGTTTGTCCTGTTTGTCTTTCTTGTAGTCCTTGGTATCAAATTTGCTATCCTTTGCCAAAGTATACTGGATATCAGCATYATCTTCCAAGAGAGGATAAAGAGAATCACTTGGAAGAAGAGAAAGATTAGGAGCGCCACTAGGAAACGCAGATTCAGTAGGGTATGGGGTGGCCTGTGGGACGTCATCGAGAAGTAACGATGGCGGGCTACTCGACTCGGGTAAAGTTGTGCTGGCTTTGGTAGGTGATGCAGTTGGTGCATTGGTAGGCGAGAGCGTTGGAGCATATGTGGCTGTGTCGTCTCCCTTCTCTTCTTTGTCTCCCTCCGTCTTGTTCTCCTCCTCTTTTTCTTTTCTCTTCTTTTTTCGTTTCTTTTTCTTTAATTTCTCTTTTTCCTCTTTTGACATGGTGGGTGCCCGGGTGGGTGATTGTGTGGGTGATCGTGTGGGCAATATGGCGGGCAAACGAATTGGTGACGTGGTTTCGCCCTTGTCCTTTGGCTCCACAACTACTGCGCCCTTTTCTGACTTATGCGATTTCTCTGATTTATTTGATTTTCTTGACGTCTTTGCCCGTGTCTCTTTAGAGCCTGCATCGGGCGTCGTCATTACTCCTCCAGGTGATGTCACTGGTGCTTCTGTAGCCTTGGTGCTCTTGGTGCTCTTGGTGCTCTTGGTGCTCTTGACACTCTTAGTTGACTTTGAAGTTTTAGAATCTACACGAGGAGCTGTTGTTACTCCTCTAGGTGATGTTCCTTCCTTTTCAATATCAATTGCTGGTGTTGTTGATGGATCTGTAGGTTCTGTCACTGGTGCTTCTGTAGCCTTGGTGCTCTTGACACTCTTAGTTGACTTTGAAGTTTTAGAATCTACACGAGGGGCTGTTGTTACTCCTCTAGGTGATGTTCCTTCCTTTTCAATAGCAATTGCTGGTGTTGTTGATGGATCGGTAGGTACTGTCACAGGTGCTTTTGTAGCCTTGGTGCTCTTGACACTCTTATTTGACTTTGACATTTTAGAATCTACAGGTGCTGTTCTTACTTCTCTAGGCGATGCTCCGTCTTTTTCAATAGAAATGGTTGTCGTCGGTGATAGATCATTTGTCGTAGGTGCTTCTGTAGCCTTGATGCTCTTGACACTCTTATTTGACTTTGACATTTTAGAATCTAAAGGAGGTACTGTTCTTACTTCTCTAGGCGATGTTCCTTCCTTTTCAATAGAAATGGGTGGCGTTGTTGATAGATCAGTAGGTACTGTCTCAGGTGCTCCGGTAGCCTTAGTGCTCTTGAAACTTTTCGACGATTTTAGATTCCGCAGTTGATCTAGAGAATAAACAACGTTTTCTGTTTTTGCTTCGACACTGAACGCTGGTGCTAGCAGAACCAGCACCAGGCAACCGCACAAGCGGATGCTACGATTGCAGTTTGCCATTGTGCTTGGCTCGATTTGTATCCTCGGAATAATCAAATTCCTTCCAGATTCAGAAGATGAATTCGTCGCCTCAGTGTTTGTTGGCCTGCTTGTTTGTATTTGTTGCGCCGTGGTTATATTTGGACTCGATCAGCAGTTATGCTGCAATCGAAGTTGAACTCCTCAGAGTGCCGAGCAAAATAACTTCCCCCTTCTCGGTTAATTTTGTTGAGGATGACTTGTTGACAGCCATTTTAAAATTGAAATCATCGAAGGAATATATATGGAAGACGATTCATTCTTTTCTGATACTTCTGTCTATGGATTTTTTTGGCGGAGAACAATTTGATTCTTAAATTTGTGAGAGCGTCGCTTTCGTAAATCGAAAATAATAATGGTGTTCTTTTTGGTGAAACACCGATTGTAGTGACTAGATTCAAAGATATGTTACTGACAAATAAGCCATAATTATGAAAAAGAATGAAGAGCGAGAAATTATCCATCTTTCTATCAATAATAGTTGAATAGTTCCTGATTTTAGATTAAARCTGTAGACATTGTCGGTTGCCAGAAAAGACCATTCTGATAAAAATATTATTTCCTACGTGCCTACGATCTTTTTATGCCTGTCAAAAAAGCAATTATGTAAAATTTTCAATACAGCACTTTTCCACGGACAAAAAATAAATTCTGATCGTGAACGGATGACAAGACTCATTTGAGTCCAATGGTGGAGAAGTTGACTTCTACAGTACGTACCATACGGTACACCATACTAGCATTGGAATATACTGTATTGTGGACGAGGCAATTGTGTTAGTCAAGTCTATTTAAGTAATAGGTTATGAGCTTTAAATGAACCTCGGTTTTTACCACACAAATAAATACGTACTTGTACTACGCAGTACAGTATCCCTCGGATGAGAGTACTACGGTACGTACGTTGTCGTACTGTAGCCAACCCCATTCCTCGCGTCGCCTCGTGACATGTGAGTACGTACTTCGCATACGTACCTGGTACCGCATTTTTGCAACCGATATTGCAAAACGTTCAAAATTTTGCCTGGTACTGTACGATAACCTAGTTACAAAGAAAAATAAGGTACAAAAAGAAAAAAAAGCTGAGAAGGATTTCTCAGTATTTTTCCTCTTCTTGTTCTGAGAAGGAAAAAATATTTTGTCTGCCTCCTGCTTTCTCATCTTAGATCTTGGATCGTCCTCCTAGCTGCTCCTTTGATTTCTTCAGCCAATAAACTGCGTTCTAGTACAAGCACCATATCTACTGCATTCACTACCGTTACTGTTGATGATTGATCGAATTTGTTGAATTATTGATCGTTTTGTTAAGTTCTATCGTTATTCGACGGTTCTTTTCTATATAAAATTGCGTGCACAATGGATTCAACGAGGCAGCTGTTGGATTCCTCAATTTTTTATGCTCCCTCGTTTTGTTTTCGTCCCTGGCCCCCCGCAGTGCTGGTCAATTATACCATCAACGTTGCGAATCTTAAAATTGATTGGATTTGGGAGGCTGTTGGCAACCCACTTGTGAACAAACTTCATGTCTTCCTCGTACTGAGCAAGGAGACGTTGCCGTCGCGCATCGTCGCGAGTAGCAGTGTTGATAGAAGAAGACCTCAATGGCGATACCAGCGACGACGAATATTCATTTCCTTTTCCCTTCTTTAGCTCGTGATCGCGCTGACGCTTGGCGGTGATCTCCTTGTCGGTGGCAAATATCATTAGTTCGTCGTCATGATTGCTATTATCGTAATCGTAGTCCCCAGATATCGGTTGCTGATGCTGGTTTTGATGCTTCGATTTTTTCGACTTTCTTGATTTCTTCGACTTGTCAGGTGCTCCCTTCTGTAACATGGTTAGTAGATCCTGACTCGCTCGGCGGTTGCTATTTTCAATTCCTGCTGGGCCGTCGCTACCAGAAAATCTAGTGCTGTCACTGCCCTCATCGTCCTCCGATTTCGCTTCGTCCACAACTTCTCCCCAAGGCGTGGCACCGTGCTCGCTGAAAAAGGGCTGGAGTCCACTGTCTTCGTTGCTGTTGCGAACAAGTGGCTGATAGTTCGCACCGGCATCGTTCACCTCGGCGAGTTTATCGCCGTGCTTGGAGTTCATAAATGACCCCCCCACGACTCGGAAGGAATGCGGATCTACTCGTTTTTGGCCTGTGGCACTGTCGTCGATACCAAAGCCCTTTTCGACGAACAAATGGGGATTCCCATCATATTCCACAACTCGGCCACCCTGGAGCTTGGAATTCGCCTCGAACATTTCCCTCTCGGTCCAACGCGCCGAATCGCCCATCGACGCTATCAGCCCGGCATCCACGAGCTGTTCCCTGTCTTTTTTCCGACTCGACCGTTGTCTAGAGGAAGACTGCTTATCTCTGGTGGAGGACTTCTCCCTAGATTTGGGACGAGATTTGGTTCTCGATTTGTTTGCTTTTCGTTCCTTTTTCTTTTTGATCTTCTTAACTTTCTTGTTGTTTTTGCCGCTCTTATTTTTGCGCTTTATCCATTTCTTCAGCTTTCCAACAAAAGGCAATACAGCAAATGTTTCATACTCTCTGATGTCCCGAAGATCCACCCACTCTATTTTGTCGACTTCCTTCCTGCAGACTGGTTGRAAGGGATAATCCTCGGGAACCCCGCAACACACATCTAGCAAGGAATGTAAGCAAGGGGTTCAGAAAAGAAAATAGAAAGACAGGGGAATCTATACAGTGAGCAAAAAGTAATACGAGAGAAAGATCAATGGATCGACAACCAAGAGTTCGATATTATTGATGCATATTCCTACAAATTTCGGGATTTACAGTTCGTCTTCATTCCCATGAATATCAATCATTACTCACAAAACGTCCGCCGTTTCCCACTCTTCTGCTCTACATATGTCAGCATGTTGTCCGGATCTTGTAGTGGATGCATCCAGGTGATATGCTTTTCCCGATCTTCCTCTCGAGAGTTCCATTGGCCTGTCAGACCATAGTTACAGTGTGGATCAAAGCCCGTCTCCTCGTAGGTTTCTCTGGCGGCCGCTTCAATTCCAATCTCGTTTTCGTTTATCTTTCCGGCAGGAAAGGTCCATACGTTGCTCTCGTATACCTTGCACATTACAACGTGGGTGCAGTCCTCGTTGAGCAAAATGCAGCCGTAAGTTGAAATTTTGCGCTTATAAATGGTGAATTCATTCCAAAGTTTGTCAAAGTCAAGACCTCCAAGGAGCGGACTAAAGTCAAAGAGGCGCTCAGCAAAATCCTTGAGGTTGGAATGTCGGGGYAAGAGGCATTGACCTTCGTCTTCTTCCAGCTTGTCGCAAATTAGATCTTCGTAATACCACCATGCCTGTTCCAATTGAAAAAAAATTCGCTCGGACGAAGATAATTCTTCGGGAGGGACGTTCAGCAAAAAGCGGGTGTGGACTTCGTCGAGGGCATCCAAAAAGTCGCTCGATTCTAKGTCTTCTTCTTCGTCATCATAATTCTCGTATCCTTCGGCGTCGTTAACAGTTGCGTGTTGCTGTTTTTGKACCAATTCGGCTTCCAAATCAGCAGCTAGTTTCACATTTAAGTTATGGTCGTTTGCGATCTCGTCTTCGCAATATTCAAGGTTTAACATCGATGCAAGTGCCATCGAGGCCGACCCTTGCTCATCAATGTTGAAGCTACTCATTCTCTCAACAAGCGAAGGATCCAAATGATGTCTTTTGCTGCTTCTATCGCTTTCGCTGCTGTTTTTTTTAACCTTGCCTCTTCTACTTCTTTGCACGTTCTTTTCGTAAATAAGGATATCTTCCTCGTCGCAGCTACTGGAAGAGGAATATCCTTCGTCTTCGTCGGATGAGGATGATGACGAACCACAGTAATCGCTTGAAGATGCCTGTCTTTTCTTTTCTCTCTTTTTTTTGCTCTTGAGACTCCTGAGTTTAGTAGAAGAGATGCTGTGGGCAACGCTGCTGCTCTTGGTAAGTCCAAAATCGAGAACCATGGCGAAATTTACTTGATTATTGCAAAACGGGGTGCTCGCTGCTTATTTCTTACTACAAAAGCGTACTATCTCATATGTAATTTTTAAACCTWGCTTTTTTACATTTGCTTCCAAAGTTTATAAATGTTTTGGAGAAACAACCGTTGAAAATACGGCATTTTGATGTTTCTTGAATTTCTTGAACTAAGCTCGTATTTTTCCCGCTACCACCGAAACATTCGTCGGACTCCTCGAAGAAACAAACAAGAACAAAAATTCTGTTGATAGAATCTATGTCCTACTTATTTCCATGTAACCATAAGTAATCGAAAATATGGGCACTATAAATTTTAGGGAGGCATTACTACGGAAAATTCTCGTTAACACTCCCGGAATGAGAATCTCTGACTCCACTTATTGGACTTGATTTGTCTCACATCTCACTAYAAAACAAATCCAATATGCAAGAAAAGAAAACTTTCCAGAGAACAAGAGGATACACCCCTATTGCAATAAACAAACAGAGAGCTGTACCACCATCTCGACAGCCGAATCGCGCTACATATTGGGATTGATGATCACCTTCTTCGCCGTGGAATAATCGCATCACCAGACGGTCGTCGCTCTTCGGTGTTCTGTTCTTCTTTCCCCGCAGAACAAACTTGTACATCATCAAACTCTGCAAGACTGATTGGCTTTCTTCTTTCTCCACGACCCAAGATGCCTTCTGTAGATACGATTGGTAGGCCTTTATTGTCGACCATTGTTTCCTAAATCACCTGTAGAATGGAATAATGAGAACATGGTTCGGGAAACTGTATTGTACTTAGCAATGCAAAACCCGCACGTTACATGTCACACGAGTCGATTAATTTTCAGATAATKGCGCTTTCTCCCTCGCAGCTGGTATAGCCGGCAGACATGCGACATACTCGCATCACGCGAAGCGAATATCCTGTCAAACTCGTGTGCATTCGAAGGAGGAAAGAACCGTTCCTCGCCTGCTGTTTCTGTTCCTGAATATTTGTCGCCACCCCATTGTTTTGGTAGATTCCTTCTGCCAAAATTCCTCAGTTTCGAACATGCCGAAAGATTCCCATCATATCGTCGGAAAATTGGAAAAATATTTTCTATTGCAAAAGTGCAACAGAATGGTCTRTTCTTTGAGACAACAGAAATGCTAGTAGACCGAATTCTATTTGTTCTGCACATTTCCCTCTTCGTTGAGTTGAGTTATTTCTGCTTCAGGGCCATCAGGTGGGTTGAAGCCTCAAATAGTAGGAGATATTCCTTTCTTGTTAGTTGGCAACRATAATGTTTTGGGTGTGACTATCTATTAGAGATGTAAAGCCATGGCAGTCAACACTGATGAAATGTCCCATGTCAAAATCCTCATCAAAGCCAAAACWTGACTGATGGGCTTGCACTAGGATAAAATTTACTACAAAACTCTTGACAATGCTCATGCCGTTGTCAACCACTGCCTSACTTACTAGTATGACAAACAGAAAAAAAAAGTGACACCCTCTACATCAAAATCAAATGATCTCCCATCTACATCACCTTAGATGTCTACAACTTTGCCATTTTCTCTGACAATGCCTTCCCTGCTCCTCCTCCCACCAGTACAAGTAACCCCCCCCCCCCTCCAGCCAACCCAACTGACCTCCTCCTGACATCTACAGGAAACAAGAATGTGTAGAATTGGTTTTGAAGTACATTTAAAATGAATTATAATCTTTTTATTTGGTATCTAAAATGCCAGCACACACTYCATGTGCTAATCTGTGCTAAAGAAGGAAGTGCTGTTGAGCACTTTAGACTGATCCTATTCCTTCCTGTAGRTCTTAGTACATCTACTACTACACAAGGATCTACAGCAGGGGTTCCTATGATTCTGTTCTTGTAACATATCATGAAATCTAGTACTAGGACTTCTTGTATCTTTGATGTTGCAAGTGTCAWGTAGTATTCTCAATGAAAGATATTCTTGATGCTTGGTACTCTTATAATGTATCTATTGCATCTTGGTATAAGTTTGACAATGGTTCTGTCTGTAAGCTGTAGGGACCCTACCAGATCGTACACAAAAAAATAGACAAAACCTGTACTCACCGAACAAATCCACCTCAACATGACCATGGRAATTACAATATCTCAACAACCAAAGCATTATAAGACAAGCCGAGGGTACCGTTGCAAAGTGCTCAAAATTCTTAGYACTAAGGTCCCTGAATATCATTCTAATGGTGGAAGAGCTCTTATTTTAAATACTGATCTACCAAATAGGGCAAAAAGTAAGAAATTTTTGAATTCAGCAAACACAGCAAGAACACCACCAGTAAAGAAGCTTCCCTTGGCAATTCCAATTGGTTCACTGTAGTAACAAGCATTATCTAATTTGTAGGAATACACCTTTTTGTTGTGATTGGGGATGATTTGGTTGTGAAATAATTTACTGGCAAAATCAGCACCAAACARCAACAGCAACAGCATACCTTCTTGTGACAATATTTTTTCCTACTGAGTTCTACTACATAAGAATTCTACGTAGTATTTTGTTTTCTGAACATGAAAAACAAGCAACTGAGAACTGCTTGGGAATGGCATTGAAGGTATTTTCTTTTGGGGGCATGCTCAGTCATAGTTTTGGGGAAGTGTATGCTGTGTGCCAGTGTCCTAACCAATAGGTCCACCACAGTGACTGGCAGCATGCTCATCTCTAACAGTTCGTATGACCAAATTTTGCTATTTCTGATACTTGCTGTGTGGTACAAAATAGACCAGCAGCAAGTGATCCAAAAACAATTCAAGACCACTGGACAAAGCGCCCAGTTCTTATTGATATACTTAATTACTTAGATGTCTGTGTCACTGGCTGGGAACCCATAGTAGGACGATGCTCTACTAGAGGCAGGCCTGGCGCTAGCTTGCTGAAGTTCTTACAGTAGCCGGTGGCCAATCATGGAAGTTGAAAAGAAAACAAATAGTACTAGAATAGTGCAAATAGATTTTCTTGACTGAAATTGTCAATGGAAAGGGGAGTCTGAGGGGGTAGAAACACTAAAAATCCGGTATGAAGTTTTTAAGACTTAGTAGACCGTAGTACATTACATAGTAGTACTAGTACTGMTGTACAAAATGAATGACTATTTTTAAGGACTATAAACTGTTTCTTCCAGAAAATATACAGAGCCAATAGTCGCTGTTTCTTTGAAACATAACAGTTTCTTCCACAAAATACATTTTATGCCACTGGATGACGACAGTTCGACTTCCAATTGAAGGAAGACCTAATTTTTGATGTAAGAAACAGGGCACGACAGAACCTACGTTACGGTATACTCGTACCGGTCGGTAGGTGCATACGGTACTAGCGTATGTTCTTGAAATTAGAAATTAACACATGATATGTCTTGGCCCATAGGCGACGAAATAATACACATGGAATGAGCTTTGAGCTTGATTTGACTGCCTTGCAAGACCCAAAAATACCAACGGAAGTGTTTCCATTCCCGGTTAGAATTAAGTAAGCATCGGTCATTTTCAAGATACTGAGGTGAACTCTCACACGACCAACAAGATGGCGCCCCTACTATTGAAAAACGTATCGTACCGACCAGTACGTACCGTGGATGAGTAGAAAAACAAAATACTTCTGATGATCAATTTCACCGTGATGCCCCCTACACAAACCAAGCAGCATCTTCCATCAGACAGACTGGAATTCACGACGCCCAGCACGAAGCGGCGGTTGAAAATTCTATCACTGCCCAAGACCGAGCGAAACGTGTTCCAACTTTACGACCAAATCATCGGTTCGAAGGGAATTATATCAGACTATTATCATTTATACTGCCGATGCATTGCTGATCTTTGGCGAGCATCGCAAGATCCGTGCCTTTGTGTCTGATCACAACATAAGCAGACCGTTTAACATTTCCCTCAGCAATTCTCAACTCGCCAACGCATTTGTTAATACGCATGCAAATCATCAACTCATACAAAAATCACTCATGAACTACATCATCTCCTTTGTAGTTCTTATATGGTCTTTCGATATCCTTTCTGTCGTCAACGGTGCCGTGTCGCAGCAAGATGAGGGCACTTACCGTAAGTTCATATTTGTCTCATAGAACAAGGTCAGAAGTAATGGCCCAATGTCTTACCCATATGATTATTTTTCAAACCATTCGTGTGTTGGTCGTAGTCGCCAACTTCAATCAGATCATGGAGGCCTCGTATTCACAGGTTGATGACACGACCGACCAAAATATCAACCAGCCACCACAAGAATTATTGAATCGGTGTAAAAACAGCGGTAACATGAATCCGACCAGAAGAGTTACAGCAACTTCGGGAGGAGGATCAATATCTGCATCATCCGTCCAATCCAAATGCAACACAGACACGATTTGTATCATACCTGAGGGTACCACACTGAAAATGGACGGTAATCTCAACGTCGGTGCTCTTGTCGTTCGTGGGAAATTGGAATGGACATCTACAACCCAATCGTCAATGAACCAATATCTATGTGGAGGTTATATTGTGGTGGAAATCAATGGCTATTTCGAAATGGACTTGAATTCGAACACAAAGTATGGCTGGATTTACATTAAAAACAACGGGGCTGTTCACCCCGAACTTCGATCCAGATCGTTTGGTACATTCAAAGTACGCCATTCCAATGAAAATCCGACCATGGAAGTCCGCGGGCGCGAATTGGCGAGGACCTGGAGTTTGTTATCGGAACCACTGCGTCCTGGGATAAAAACGATGAAGCTTCTGCATGATCCCAGATTGATGGGATGGAAGGTGGGTGACCGCTTGGGTATCTCGCCGACGGAATCGACTGCAAAAGGATGGGGCCAGGACGTCCAAATAATAGACATCCGAAACGACGGAACGATTGCCCTTAACGAAATCATCAAGAGTTATCATCGAGCGGATTTCAAACTTGGGAACAACTTTGGTGCCAACTCATCGCCGGCCTTGCTTTCGGCAGAAGTGGTCAACTTGAGCCGCAATATCATCATTACAGGTGACGATTTTCAAGAAGTTTCGTGCGATCCTAATTTGCCCGAGGCAGTCCCCGGAGAGCAAACGTCGGTCCTCGGTTGTAGATGTGCTGAATTTCGAAACAAGTGCCACGTAGGATTGCACACGATGCAAAAGCACGGGGGTGTGACAAAGATCGAGAACGTCCGCGTCGAAAAATGTGGTCAACGAGGTAGGAGGATAATAGCGCTAACCATAGTCGTCGTGATCGGGTCCCCTTCGATTGTTCCTCATCTTGTGATCCATTCTA